AGTGCTCGTTGAAATGTTCCTGTTCCTTTTCATTAAGCTTAGGACCCCACCGATACTGTACAAAATTTATCAGACTATGGAGAGGTCCGCCGTAGTGGAGGAAATTGCGTCTTCTATGTGTGTCGAAACCGGCAGTTCAGAAACGACGCTCTTGTCTCCTAGAGGACTCAGCCGCTTAGTAGTCGCAGAGTTTTTCTCTGGCTGCGCTCTGCCTCTATTCACGCCACTTTTCCCCAGGTTTCAGAGACCTATTGCTGGGAAGGGAAACTCAGTCATAATATCAATTAAATTGTTATTTGCCGTTTGCTTGTGATCACATATGAAAGACTTTGGTCAATATATATAACGTAGCCATCAAATATGTATAGGCCTGAGGAGATAAACACTTTTATAAAAGATTTGTCTTCTAGTCATCTCCCAGGTTTACCGCCTTACGCTTTTAAGGGCCTGGACCCACATGTGAGTCCATCCAAAGAACATAATCATTATCATACTAATCTGATTTGGACACCTGGGAAGGGCAATCATGCCTCCCGTTGGCAGCGAGCCCCCCTGAGTCTGCAGTGTTTCACCTCCGCTGGTGATTTCGCTGAAGGTGATTTCTGCTATCTGAGAAATCAGCAGGTGGAGTCTTTGGGTTCAATTAAGTCGTGCAGACTTTCAGCACCTCAGGGCACGTGATGTCCATCCCCAGAGTCTAAAGCCACCTCACATAAGGCTGAAGATAGACATGACATGTGACTTCTGTGCATCCAGTCACGCACACGTGTAGCCCCAGCTGTGCAGACACATGTAAAGGGAGTGATGCACCTGTGAGTGTGACCACTACATCACGACACAGTGGCAAAAGTAAACTATGCAGCAAGTTTATTTAAGTCAAGTCATGTTAAGTAATTTGGAGATTTTCTACATTGTATCTACAAGAGAAGAACTTTTTTTTTTAATCAGTAGGCCTACTAATGCATGCCCAATGAGTTTTAAACGCATTTAAGCATCCTCTGCTTCTTTTATTTCTTGATTACCAATTGCATCTTTAAGCTGAATTAGCAAACCAACCAGTAAACAAGTCCATTTACAGTAGTAGAGTATTATACAATATTTCCCTGTGAAATGTAGTAGTATAGAAGTAAGACATTTAGTAAGTTGAGTACAGTTCTTTCGTAAAGTTCCACAAGAGGTGTTTGGCATTCTGAAAAATCTACATTGTATTCTCACCAGGGAGCACCGAGCATCTGTTTCACACATCTGCAGCATAATGAAGGCTCATATTTACTTTATATAAATGCATCTCATCTTGTTTAATTAGGAAGTCACCTAATTACATTATTAACAGACATGTGGAAGCCAATCTGAATATTGAGAAGAAGATGTTACATGCATCCAGAGGAGTCTTCTAAGAGATCTTGAGAAGCCATTTCCCCTTGACACAGCATCAGAGGTCAGTCGTGACAAGCTCCCACTTCCACGTCCTCAGGTGGGGCTTTGAACGCCTCGGGCTGCAGGGATTGATGGAGAGCGAGGGATTGATGGAGAGCGAGGACTGTCATAATCAGTCCGGGCTTTAAGTGTGAAAAAGCTGGGCCTGAGCTCGATGCATCATGGGAGCTGCCAGCGTTCATCAGTCATCGACTGCAGGGAGATTCAGCCATGTGAGTGAAGAGCAGCTGCCTCCGTGAGGTTCTACCAGCCGGATACTTAACCTACTGAAGACTGTCCGATGGGGTGTTCATCTTCATTCATAACACATGGTTCAGATGTGTTTAAAAAGCTGATGTAATGCTGCAGGAACAAATATAGTGATTTTGTGGAAGATTTTGTAACATTACTCAAAAGGATATGATATTTCTGAGTAGGTTTTTAGAATAGGTCGTTTCCAAGGCTTTTAACAAAGTCTTAGGCATTTAACTTTGTATTCATTGTTGCCTTAAATACAATAAATTGTTATTTTGCTGTCTAAATGCTCTAAGAGAAATAAGTTCTAAGAGAAATAAGTTGTTAAGACATGTTAAGCTCATGAGAAGCTCTATATTCAGACAGGGTTCTTGGTTTTTTCTTTGAACTTCAGAAAATGGACAAACCAACCACAGTCTCAGTATTTAAACAGCGCTTCAAAATGCAGGATTCTAAATATAGGACACGGAACATCACTACCAAAACTTTCATCCACACAAACCGGTCTCTTTTCTGAGACCATAGAGCATAGCATAGCTGAAGCATGCAATGACCACTGGTCCGTCCAATATCCCTCCCCATGGCTGAACACTCTTTCCTCCTCAGGTTGCCCTAGGTATTATCCCCAATCCCCCCACAGCAAATCCCTTTCAAAACAAAATCATTTCAGCTTCTTAAAGTACGGTCGAGGGCTTCTGCTCATTTACATAAGTAGCAATAAGTTCAGGGGATAGCATTTTAAAAACTGCCTTAACACAAATCGGTTCACAAAGAATGTCAAGAGCATTAGCTTTAGCAGCTGAGCACCTGTGAAAATTGGAATCCAAATCACCGACAGACTCCACATTTGTTTGCTTATCCCCCTTTACCCAATGGCTGAACTTCTGGGGATATGCTTCAGGGACCAGCTCCTATGCATTTAACACAGCCGATTTCACAGTATCATAATCCAAATCCTGCTCAGCATAGATGAATACACCACCTGAGCTCTCCTGGGGAGGACACACTGAAGCATGAGACATTGTCCACATCTGGACAATTTGCAATGGGTCCATGTTTAAAGAGATTAAATAAAGTATCAGTCTCATATTGAAACTAACCTGACACAACCCAAGCGAAAAAATCCTTGTATATAGCGTATCAAGACACTTAGCTCCTGAACAGCATATGAAAATCCAACATTGGGTCACAGACCAATGCTTCCATGAAAGATTTAAACAGCAACATAGCATGTAGCCAAACCAGCACACAGCTGCACCAAATCACCTAATCAGTGTTCACCCTACTTGCCAACCTTTAGACCTCAGAAATCGGGAGCATTTCAAAATGCAAAATGCAAAATGGGGGGGGTTAGCCGATCTACTTGTGCTAGTAGATCGCCGGAGCTGTTAGATTAACATGAACATGCTTATTGTAGTTGTAAGTGCACTGACTTGCGGCCTGTAGCACCGTCCTTGATGGAGCATATGTGTGGGCTGGACCTGTATATTTTACAGGAAAGGAGTGAGCAGTTTTCGATTCTTGTTCTGTTTTCTGTGAATATCTGCCTCACCCTCTCAGACTTTGAGTTGCGCGCGCTACTAAAGAGACGTGTTACCATGGAAACCAAACAATGGTGTAGCTGTATTAAAGTCCGAGTGGAAACAGTCGTGTGTAAATCTGATTTTGTCAGAAATCGGGAGAAATGCGGGAGAAATATGACCCCAGGAGGAAACCGGGAGAGGGCAATGAAATCGGGAGTCTCCCGCGAAAATCGGGAGGGTTGACAAGTATGGTGTTCACAATCAACCCCATGCACCTACTGGAACCTGAAACACAAAACTTCAACAACAAAAGGGAGACAAACCAGTATCAAGTGACATAAATCAGAAAAGGCAGTGGTGTGATGTGCAAGACAAAGCATGAAGATAAACTGAGGAAACATAACCAAACCTGGACAGGTGTTCCTGGAGATGAGCACAATGAGAGTGATTGGACTGCAGCCAGGGCTACGGTAACCTAAAGACACAGGTGTTCCCCATCATGCTAATCAGCCACCTGCAGAACATACAGGTTGGTACCGGATCACACCACAAGAGGGCACCAGGGGTCAGAGCTAGCTTACTGGCTAACAAGCTAGGCCTACAACAGGTGGATAAGTGAAGTATTTTATTTTTTTAAAGTGTTGTTTTTCTCTTTTGAACTGGAAGCTAATACTTACATCATGGACCTATTTCTATATTGCATGCACATAGATTAAATTGATATGCATTTTTCTCGTCTAATTCCAATTGAGACAGCAGAAAGACTTCAAGTATCAAGTATTTAAATACAGAAGTTAACTTCATAATGCTAATGCTAATGGCACAGTGTTCCAAAGGCTATGTGTTTGATTGAAAACAACTTTACGAAAAAATTCATTTAATTGCAATCATGAACTGCCATCTGCCTCAACATAGCAATTTCAAATTCACAATCTTGAGTGTTCATGTTAGTTAGCATCGATGGTTAATGCAAAAGAAAAACGTTTTCCTTCTCCGACCGTCAAGGGTTTTTGCTCAAGGGCAACACAACAGTTTCAATAGTTGTTTAACTTTCAAAGTCAACTCAGAAGCTCGTCTTTAGCCAGTGTGTGTCAGGATGAAGGTGGATTTAGACAGAAACGGGTGCATCATGAGAAAGCATCTTGTCAGGTCACGGCGTACACAAGAAGCATCATGATGCATATTCCCAGGATTAGACACAGTTGTTTTAAATTGAGTATGACCTCCTTTAATCCGTCATGCCGCCTCCTCAGCCTCCCCGGTGCATTCATTAAGGCCGAGAGGCATAAACAGATCGATGGCTTCAGAACAGGTAGAAGTGGAGTCTCAAATGGGGTCAAATGCAGCTGCTGCTTACATGTAGAACCACATTAAATAACCACAAATATCACACATTATATATCCATTCAAAAATATATTTGAAGAAAATTGGCCTTATTGTTTTCATCAAAAACTGGCTGAGGAAGTTTTGTCTCGAGTTCAGATTTTTTTTTCAAATTGTATTTTCTCTTTTCTTCTTATCTCTCCAGTGATGCTGGCGGCTGTTAGCTTTTTCTGTGTTGCTCTCAGATCAAAGGATAATTACAGGCTTTCCCGGCAGTCTTGAAATAGTGTTTGTGTTCTGATGTGTCTTTTGAAGGAGGAAACTCATAAATGCATTCCAGTGGAAAGAACTGCTGATAATAACGTTCG